GCCGTGGGGCTCCAAGGGCTGTGGGGAGCTGCCGCGGGGACCGCTCGGTTTCCTCGCACAACGCGGAAGTCAACACCCCAGCCAAAAAGGGAGAGGACAGCCCAAAAAAATCTTGGCGCTGTGAAAAACATCCCCGATAGAACACCAAAAATCGCAAAATACGGCACCTGCTTTCAGGGAGTGGGGGGAGCCAGAGGAAATCCGCCTGGTTAATGTCGGCACAGCTCACAGACCTCCTCCCCTTCGCTCGGTCCCCTGTAGCTTGGGGCACCTGTAAATGGCGTTGCCCTGGAGAGAAGAGGAGACGTAAAACGGATTTGTGCAGCTCGGCCTTGAAATGAAGGGAACAGGAGGCCCCGCACACGCTGCTCTTCAGGATCTGCAGCGCTGGCACTAGAGCTGCAGGTGTACACGCAGGGTGCAAACAGCGGAGGTTCAGGTGTAGCGTGTTAGGGTTTGGGTTTTTTTTTTCTTAATAGTCAGGAGAAGGGCTCCCGTGGGATTCTTGCAGAGCAGAATGTAAGTAGTAAAAATCCGATGCTTGTGTTAATAGCAGTCAGGCGTGCCAGACAAATTGGTTTACAGTCCAACCTGGGAGGGACAAAGCACGTTGAAAAATGAAATTTCATTTCCAAATAACGAACCACAAAATGGCACCTTCTGTGTTACACATTGGGTATTTAATAGAGAGATCCCAGCCAAAAAAAAAATAAAAGGTGACAATTCAGCAGAGGCAAGAGAATGCTCCGGAGTAGCTAGAAAACAAATTCCTTTCTTGGTGTTTGTTTTATTTACTTTTATAAAGCCCAACCAGCTGGAAGTGGGGGGTGGGAGGGACTGCCCTTCCTTCCATGAATCTGTGCAGGCTGAAAATCGAAGGACTAAAATCTGTCCGCTGCTGGTGTAGAAAAAAACCGTACTCGAGGAAAACATCTTTCCTGCTCAGTAGCAGGGGGAAAACACTCTGTACTGCGCCAGCTTACACCAGAAGCAGGAAAGGTCTCAAGTGTCCTCAATAATAAGGCACCAGCTCAGCACAAGCATGTTAGTTCTTCTGGGACAGGTTTTGTGTTGATCTCGCTCCTGCCACAGCACGTTGTTACCCAGCACCACAGCGACCCGGCGGACAGGCAGGCCACAGCTCTACAGCTCCCTTTAAACTTCACTCCAACAGAGCAGGTGCTCTCAGACATCCTATTTCAGTGCAGACTCTGAAGAGTGGCTGAATTTGAGTCCCACGATACAACCAGCCTTTTTAGCTGTGAGGGTGATTTACTTCTGTTTTCCAGGTGAAACCACTCGTGACACACCAAAGCAACAGGCAGAAGGGACAGGCGGTCTTTGTCACCTCAGTGGAGTGTTCATTTTCAGACTGCCCGCCTGGTTTTCTGGCATTACTCCTTTAGTTGATGATCTTTCTGTTTAAAACAGAAAACACAAAGTCCAGATGTGTACTGCCCAGTAACAAAGTCTTCAGCTTGGTTTCTTTCTAGAATAACCTAAGAAAATGAGCACAGAGACCCAGTGTCTACCACCTGAAGCGGAGATTTACTGTTATTATTTGTAATTTAGTTGTGTTTTGAATTTTCCCCAGAGTGGGCCATTTTCTTATCTTTTCTCTCCTTCCCTTTCTGAAGGCATCCAACTATAGAAAACCTGGCTTAAGTACAGCCCAGAGGAAGAAAAGTGGCTTGAAACCTGAACTCACAGAAGAGCAAAAGCAGGAGATCAGAGAAGCTTTTGATTTGTTTGATACTGATGGATCCGGAAGCATTGACATAAAAGAACTGAAGGTTTTCAAACTTTTTTTCCTTGGATGGAAAGATCTTTGCTCTCAGAATTGTAGCTGTTTTCTGTTTGTCCAGCCCTGTCTATTTTAAAATAGTTTTGGAGTACGAACATGAGTAATGGCTTGCTGTTAAGACTGAATTTGGGGTGTACTGCATGGTCAACCTGAGAAAGCTCTGTATGCAATACTTCAGAGCAGAGAGGCTTCTCAAATACATGGGTAGGAGGTCAGATAGCTTTGAATACCTGAGCATTAGAGGAACTGAAGAGTTCCTCTGTTTAGGAACACACAGTACATGTTTCAGCTTTCACGACTGGCTAAGATCACCATTTGTGGGACACGGACTTTCGTTGTTCTGGGATGAATGTCAGAATATAAATTTTTTTTTCTTCATCTCAGAACTAAACACACAGTTTGCACACATGGAGGAAAGATACAACCATATTTTCATATACATAATCCTAAAGTTAACTGGGTTTTAATTTAAAAAAGAACAAAATGGAGATTTGTGCTGCATTTCAGCAGCAATTCAGGTAGTAGGGGGGATGATTATTCTCAGTTCTCTCCCTACGCTTTTATGTGTCTGATCTTTTTTTAAGTGTGAACCTTCTATCTTAATTATATCCTTGACCTTGATTTCTCACAAACACACACTCTGCCTCAATTTCTGCGTATGTAACCTAGAAGCATGACTTAACTAAGCCTATGGCTTATCTTGGGATTTATCTGGAAGTACTTATGCTTGTTTAAGGAGAACGTGTTCTCTGAATGCAGATTACACATGTTAAAATACAGTTCTTAAAATGGACTGAAACATTTCAGCATCAACCAGTTAATGCTATGTTTTTCAAAATTCATTAAAAAGAATGGGTATTTTACAACAGAAGGTGTTCCCCTCTGAAAGACAAAGTGGAAAATGTTCAGTTGTCCCATCGCAAGAAACTGGTCAGAAAACACATTTCAGTTAAACGTTAAGTTTCTGGTGAGTTGGCACTTTCCAGTAAAAGAATGTTGGCGAGAAAATTCTGCCTAATATTAACGATTGATTTCCATTAGAGCATATAGGAAGAACAAATGTTCACAGTTCAAATCTCCCTCTAGTCATGCATTCTTGAAACTTCAGTCTCTTAATTTCTAATTAAGTATGCTGTAATCATCTGGCACACCAGCATTGTGAAATCGGTAATACACACCCAATTAGCAAATTCATTGTCGTAGGCTGGTGAATGCCAGAGCCAAGTTTTAACCAATATTAACACTAAGCATTTTGTACAACAATCTCCACAACTGTTTTTCCAGTAGTGCTTTGCTGGTGCTCTGGAAGGCTCAGAAGGTTTGTTTTTCTTCTCCTTAGCTAGCGCAGCAGTCAGCCTTCGCTTTGCTGAGGCACTCGGGGAGTACTGTCAGTTCCCTCCCCACCACCGGGCCAGAAGTGCCAAGAGCCGCGCGTATGGATTTCATCTATCCTTGTGTACTGGATTGTGTCAGTTAACGACATGTAATTCTGCCCCCATCCAAATAAATGGGCATTCTGCCCTTCACTTCAAATGGAGTGAGACCACATCCCTGGTCTCCAACCTTCCTTGAAGTCCCATTTTGATAATCCAGTCTGTTTAGGAACTACATAGATTGGAACCTTTTACCTAATTCAGACACAAAGTTTTTCTTAGTTTCAGAAATACATCCATGTTCTACATGGATCTACAGAGAAAATATGTCTGAGTCTTAAGAATAAAAACCCTACAAAAAAAACTGTTTGGAAAGATGAAGTAAGCTGGTAAGAGATATCAAGATGTTTTCATTGCTGGGAGTTATTACAGTTTTGGATGAGGAAATGAAATAAGCTTTAGTGCAGCTGCTGACACTGTAATTCTGGTGGCCTCCTAACAGAATTGCTTTTCGGCGCAGGTTGCGATGCGTGCTTTAGGCTTTGAGCCAAAGAAGGAAGAAATTAAGAAAATGATAGCAGATATTGACAAAGAAGGCAGCGGCACCATTGACTTTGAAGACTTTTTGTCTATGATGACCCAAAAAATGGTAGGAATTCTTAATAGAAATTCTTGTGACAGCATAAAAAAATACTGAAAAGGAGAATCTTGGTGTCAGTGTTTTCTAACTAATGTATGTTTTACTCTTGTTTTAGAGTGAAAAGGATTCAAAAGAAGAAATCTTGAAAGCTTTCAGGTTATTTGATGATGATGGGACAGGAAAAATTTCATTCAAAAACTTGAAAAGGGTTGCCAAGGAGCTGGGAGAAAATCTAACAGATGAAGAACTTCAGGTAAATTCTGATTTGCCAGAGCTTTTCTAATGGGCACAAACCAATCCTGCAGCTCCCAAGGACTGGCTGGAAATTTATGCCTATGCAAAGAGGGCTGAGAGGTCAGCAATCATGTGAAAATGCATTTGAAAACTCTGTATTTGAAGTGCTTCTGATTTGTTGTTTTAATGAATGGAAGATCTTGTGGTTAGAGTCCAGCACCTGATCAAATGTACAATGTGTTTTGTAGGAAATGATTGACGAAGCTGATCGAGATGGAGATGGAGAAGTAAGTGAGCAAGAATTTTTGAGAATCATGAAGAAAACTAGCTTATATTAGTATCTGTTGCCTTGCTATACAGCTGCTCCAAAAGATAACCTGGAAAAGACTTAAAAACTGGGCTTGCGTCTCCTGCATATTTTCTGCCATATACGGAAAGTCTGAAAGGACAGATTTTTGGTTCATTCTTCTTTTTCAGCAAAGTTAACTGGGGAAGGGGGGGCTTCGGTACCCAGAACCGTTAAAATGAGATACTGCAGAAGTAAAAAGGAAGGATGACCTGAACCGGCAAGGCAGGGTCCTGTCCCTTCCCCTCCCCCTTGACAATTTCACTGATTGCCATTTTGGATAAAGAATGCTGTGTTTCAGATATTTAACTAAAAGACATTTCACTTGAGGTGTGAAGATTCCCACTGCTCCTGGGAAAGGCCACTTTTGACTTTCCTAAGGCTACAGAATGAAGGTACAAGCGTAGTAATTTTATGCCTTTTAAGACTTTTAGGTTATCTTTTGGTATTTGTCTCCTTTTGGTTATTTCCATGAAAGATTCTAAAACCAATTGTGTTTTATTTCTGTATGAAACACTGTTTTCCCATGGCAAGTTTTTTTGGACCTAATGGGAAGCAAATGTAGATAACCAGGTTGGGTTCTTCATTTGGAGCTGTGTGCTGCTATCAGTAGATGTTCTGTTTACCTGATCATCTGGAACCTAGTTTACTTGAATGTAACCTGCTTTGATTATCAAAGTTTATTGTATTACCAGTCAACATCTTGTGCCATTGTTCTCACTCCCGAGACTCTACAGAGCTGCTGGTATGCCAGGATTTCAGGTACCTAAAACGTTCAGTGGTATGGCGAACTTAAATTTTGTCTTGGGCTGTTTACAGTCAAGTTGCAGGGAGGGCTCACATCTGAAGTGAAAAAATCGCTCACCTTGGACATCTGTGGAACACCAAGTAGGTCCATGCAATCCAAATTCATTTCAGACATCACAGGTTTGGGCTGGTTTTTGGGTTTTTTTTTTTTAGGAGTACCTTCATGTTCTTGAATATTTCTTGCATATACTGTCAATCTAGGATTTACTGGAGAGCCACATGTCCTTCTGTATTATGGTGACAGAGCAGTGACACACAACATGACAGTGGATTATGTGGTTCTGCAGGAGGGTTTATCCTTGGGGCCTGATTAGACTGTCAGCTTCAAAACTGCAGGGAAATGGTATAATCCTCTTTCTCTAGTCAGGTGCCTGAAGGAGAGTTTGTTACTGCTCACAGTGAAGTGGCAAAATGTCAGAAGGGTTCAGTGGAAGAGGAGGCAAAGAACAGTAGTTCACCAGTATCTGTTAAGATCCTTCTTTTCTTCAGACAGCTTCTGCTGCTTGACAGCACTGATGGGCTCATAGAAGAAAGGAAGAGCCAGCTCCTGGATTAGCTCCTCATTACAGCTGCTTCAGCTCTCATGAGCTGTGAGGGCCCAGCAGGGGGAGAATTAGGTTCAGGAGGGGAAAAGAGAAGTGTTCATTTATGTATCCTCTTCTTCTCAGCATGCAGATGCGTACCTGGCACATTCTGTTTCAGTCCTCTGAGTCTTGTACTCTGCACAACTCTAAATAAACCCTCTCTAACCTGTGCAGAAGTAGGCTTAAACCTGTGGGAGAAGAGGGATTGTGTAGGACCCTGGAAAATGCAAGAGACCTGTGAAGCCCCCTAGTAACATATTCAGTGGCAGTAGATGTGACCTGTAGTACTGTAAGCATTTTAAAATGTCTATTGACTTTGTATAAGTGTGAAATAAAACTGTTTTGCAAGTTAAGGAGTTTGTGTGCTGACTATGAAAACTAAATTTTCACAAATAATTTCAAAGTGTTAAATGGTTCACCAAGTACATTTTCACTTTCGTTTATCTTTTCTTTCTAAGAGAGAAATTCTTAGGTGCAGGCAGTAGTCTATCACATAATTCCTCTCCCTCTTCCACTATGCTGATTAAAAGTTTCTAGTACTAACCACTTATCTTCAGAAAGGGAAATTTGAACTTCTAGTTGATTATGGGGAATCCCAGAGCCTATTAGAGTGACTGTATTTTTTTTTTTTTAATGCTGCCACAGGAAGAGATTAATGACTGTTGTCTACCTATGATGCATGTCACTTCTCTCTTCCTGTTCTAATCCCATTACCTGACTTGAAGATAGGAAAGACACACAATCATATGTACCATATACACTATGACAATGAGATGTTATTTCTGGCTTGCCCATTAATCTCCTAAGTCTGGAATGTCCAGCAGTGGCTGAACTAGCCCAGAGCTTACAAGTGTCTCATGCTGCTTTAGCTCACGTGACAGTGAGGGATATCTCATCCCCTCTTCAGCCACGTGCACCGAGCAGGACGACTACCCCAGCAATACCCACAGCAGTGCTGTGGCTGATTCCCCATGAATTACTTTTCAGTGCCCTTGTGAATCCTTCCTGACCCTTCTGGAATTTTATCTTTTACATTTCTATACATGGTGGAGGAGAAGGAGCCTGACAGACACCAGTGGCAGAAGTCAGAGTAAGGTTTGTGTGAGGAACGGGTGCTGGACTGCCCGTCCCAGAATGCCATCCTTTCACTGTGCTGGAAAAATTGACTCAGACCAATGAACTGGGAAGGTACCCAGCAGACATTTTTCCTGGGCTCTGTTCTGGTGCCTACTTGAGTAGCTTATCCTAAATGGAAGGGTTTCACTAGAGGAGACAGATCACTTGCGCCCCTCTCTTCCCATTCACTCTGTTCTCAAAAATAAGAGCTGGGGCAGGCACTTCCAGGAGACTCAGATCCAACTCCTTTTCACTAAAGCACCAAAAAAGGAGGCAAAGCAGTGACCTGAGTTGCCTTGCATGAAAGGATCCATCCCTCAAGGCACCTGTATCCAAGTGGCCATCAGAACCGACTGGCACCTCGTGCAGAGGGCAAGGCTTCAGTCCCAACCCTGCTTAATGTTCCCCACGGACCGACCTGGGCAGCTCCAGGGGCACGGGGAGGCAGACGGTCATGAACCTCATCCTCTGCCTCCCTTTTACCCTTCACGCCACCAGGGAGACTGGGTTCTTACCTGGCATTTGCAAACTCCCCTCGGATGGCTGCAATTCAGGCGCTGCAATATGTGCATCGAGCTGAGACCCTTCCTTCCACGACATCAGCGCAGCCTGGTTTTCAGTTTGAGTGTTCGTGCTGGTCGGATACTGTACAGAAAGGAAAGTGGAACTGCAATTTGTATTTGGCATGCACCTAAATATCAAAGCACCGGTAAGAGATACTGCTTGGGAGGTAATACTGAAGTGACTTCCAATGAAAAATGTTTTAAAATTAAAATGTACTGGGCTTTTAATAAAATACGAAGTAGTTCAAGACAAAAAACCCCCTACTTACAAGCTATATTCCAAAATATGCCAATTGCATGGCAATTTTAAACTAACCTTTGCCGTTATCTCCCTTGTGCAACCTTTTTATCACCTCTCAGCCTGCTGTTATCTCCCTCGTGCAACTCTCAGCCCCACAATCCTGCCTGTCCCACAGTAAAGCAAATCTTCAGTTGACTTTAGGAAAAAAAAACCAAAAACAAACCTAATGTGAAAAGACGTTTTATGTAATCTGAGCTGCACAACTTGAGACATGGACTGCTGTGCTTTCTTACCACATCACAGCGAAAAGCGGATAAAAAGGTGGCAATCTTGAAGGCCATTCATTTCTTTACAGTTCTACCTGTGCCAAACGTACCAAAAATGCAGTCACCTGTACCAAACCAGCAGGCTGGCTGGGCACAGGAGACTGCAAAAAATTGGAGGAGTCTGGCATCGCTTGAGGCGCTCACACAGTAACTGGTAACAGGTGCTACGCTCTCACTTCTCTAGCTGCGAGTTTGTTTTCAGAGCAGTAAGCGCAGCGTCAGCTTCCAAGGCTGCAGAAATAATGGCTTCTTTTCAGGTAAGCCTAATCTTGGTATCTAAAAGAGGAAGGGGGAAGGCAACAGAAGAAACCCTTTGTGTACTTTCACACGCCAAGAGTCCTAGTAACAGAGCCTAAACATTTCAATAAACTGATGAGGCATTTCATATTAAAATATTTTCAAATTGGTCATTTACAGTTTTGAAGAATGACTCTCACGTCCTACAAACTGCCTGGTGAAGCCACACCACGTATTTGAAATGTTAATTCCCTCAAAACCTCCTCACTGAGTTCATATAAACCAAATACTGCCGCACGACATCTGCTTTTAAACACCCCTGGACAGCATAGGCGGATTTTGAGAAAGACTCGGGCAGTAGAAAGTGCTTTGGGTCAGAATTCACCATTGCCACATCCGACACACAGAAATGCTGGCAGAACACGTTTTTCTGACATAGGTTAAATCTGCCTTCTTTGTGACCCCACAAAAAGTCTACAGGACCATACTGCTTAAATCTATCCCATCCACCGGCTGGTACTTTTGTCAATCTTTGCAAGCGTATCGGCACGATGTACTGCCTTTAGGTGGTGCATTTTCTGCAGACATCCGTTCTCCCAAAGTATCAGTTTTAATGCCATATCAGGGCCGTGTAGACTGCATCCAGCTCTCATTGCCAGTGGCCCTCCTGCTCTCAGAACTTACTCTCCCTACTACATTTGTTTGAAAATTATTTTTGTTTCTGTACACAGACAAAAACGAACAAAGATGAGAAAAATACTGCTCCCTAGATGCTCCAAAACACAAGCTTTGTTTCAAAACCTAGTTATATACGCTAACAGAAACTAGCCGCAGCTGCCTGACACATTTTACAAAAATCAGGCAGGGAGAGCGAACAATCAGAGAGCTGGGATGTTCCTCAGACATCCTTCAACATGAGTGACCGGGCAGGAACAACCTGTGTGCCTCCTGGCGTGGGGGAACAAGCAAACTGCTCGGTCTACAGGCTGGGATGATCCTTGCCACTTGAGGAAAGAACCCCTACGAGGATAACTCTGCAAAGAAAGCTTCCTTTTTGTCCTATGTATCCACGTAAATAGCGTAGCTGTGGCTGGACAGTCGCACCAGACAACAACACTGAATGCCAATGCCCAGGGTGGTTGGGCACACGCCCCTCTGAATCGCTCCTTCAGTGAACTGAAGGCCAGGACTGCCCCTTCGCTCCAGCCCAGACTTGCTGTCAAAGTCTCTGCTGAGCAGGCATAAAATCCTGCTGTCGGTGAGCACTGCCCACTCTGTTCAACTACAGGATGCACTCCTTCCTACATTTTTACATTAAGGAAAGGTGTTTAAGTCTCTTCTCTCTCTAAGGGATCAAAGAACTGATAGATCTGAGTGTGGCAGCCTCGCTAGAGGGCATCCAGTTACTAACATGTAAGATGAGCGATGCTCATTTCCCTCC